GACTCAGACCTCCTGCTGAGAGCTGCCAGGCATATCTAACTGCAGCCCAAACAAACGGCACAGACTTTACCACAAACACATCATAACACATGCTCGAACCCTAACCTCTTTGCTTCTCTTTGCTCCCACATGCAGCTGCCATGATTAAAAACCTTCAGCTAGTTAACTTTTTTTTTTTTTTTGGTTCTCCCTTCACCTTTCTAGCACCGCACATTCCTCTTTTTGTCTTCCTCTCCTTGCCTCCAGATGTTTCTCTAACCATGTCATGCAGACAGTGACAGAGAGCGGTCATGCTGTGTTCATTCCACCAATTTATTGAAAACAGATATAACAGGAAGAGTTCATTCCTGTAGAGCAGCCCCCATTACAGCAATCAATAAAGAATGGCTGGTTTTAAAAGCGTGCATGGCTTTTGATAGATTTCAATAAAAACTGCACTATTATCTTTAGAAAAAGGGTGACAACTTGTGCTATAAAAGTCTCAAATGTTATAATGAGAACACTTATAATTTCTGGAACATGTAGTCAAAAGTCAGTCCTGTGCTTTCCAAGAAAGTCACTGTGACGGCCGCTGTGGAATATGTGGAAACTTTCAGGATTATCCAAGTTGGAAAACACATAAAAACTAAACAGGACTGTATTGACACAGTTATTTACCTGCTTCCTATCCGCAGAAACCATAAAGAGAAATTCAGAGTATTTCAGATACAGTTGCAACAACAACAACTACAGGCCCTTGAACTTTCTGGAAAACGATTCAACTGTCAGTCCCAACCTCAAAACAGCCAAATTAATGGGGTCTGAGGATGGTGGTTAACAAAGGCAGATGTCTGCCACCCAAGTTGGCATCTTACGTACAGTTATAGCCCATCTTCTGTGCTCTTCTATAGTAAGAAAAGGTTAAAAGCATTAAGTGGTAATGCTGGATGTCAATTCTGATTATGATGGAACTAGCAGATTTCCAACATCCATCAATGAATCCTTACATTTTTGTACTGCAAGTTTACCAGATTTTACAACATTCTTGTCGTTTAAAGGCCCCGAAAACATCCCAGATGCAATTATCAGCCTGCAGAAATAAACCCCGCTTCATTAGCCGATCTTCATGTTTCCCCATGACTGAAGAGGGCTGTCTTCGCTGTCAGCACCTCAGCTGAGTTAAGGAGCACCAAATGATTTTCCTCAACACGGAGCTGGCAGTGTACGTTATTTATGCTTTTTTCCCCCACGTAAGCCACAGTCAACATCTTTCAACCAAATCACATTTTAATCATTCTCCTGATAGGAGAGAGAGAGGGTTAGGGTTGAAAATGGCTGTGTTGGCTGAGCAGTACAGTAAAAGCAGTGCGACACAAAAGCTGATCTTAAAACATTTGGCCTGTGTTATGCGGATGTTTATCAAGTTGAAATGGATTCTGTTGATAAGTGAGGCCTTCGTTTGGCTGCTTAGAGGAATGCCTAATTAATTGCAAATCTGTAAGCAACTTGGAATGTGCTGAATCCTGTAAGAAATTGTTTTTAAAACAAAACATGTGAGGAAGCAGTCGATTAATTTCAAAAAACCCTGATGAACAGCGGATTGCAAATGGAAAAGTTTAGACACATTTTAGTGATTTGCTCTGCTCTCCTCTGTGATTTGACTTTAGTTTTCATTATCAAATCGGTTTATTACAACTTTATTACAAAAGAACTTTGTCACTGTCTTAAAAAAATACAAAAGTTCCAACAAACAAGCACTTGTTCAATTTCATTTGAATCGGGGGCGGAGCCAGACGTTGTAAACATTCAGGGCTTAACCTAAACCTACGGGGGTCCAGGGGCACGCTCCCCCAGGGACATTTTATTCCCCATTTATGGCAGCTATATGCATTATTTTTCAAGCCATTTTACATAATAAAATGCCTAAAAATCTGCACCTCATTTGAGAAAAACACGACAGTTGCCCAGGAGGAAAAACACAGCCTGTAGAGCCTACATCTAGTTGTTCTCCAACTGTGTTCATCATCCTGAAACCATAACACAACAAATGGTGAGGATGACTCGTTTTCACTCCTGTCACCTGTAAGGAGGCAAAAACATTGTCTGTTGTTATTTTTAACATAGGTAGGGATGAGTAGGACAGAATGAATGTTTAGCTTTGTTGTGTCCATGGTCCCTAAGCTAGTTAGCTAGCTAGCTTGCTCATTGAGGTGACACGACTGAATGAAACACGACACACACAAGACAACAACCCCCCAGGACAATGTTAGAGTGAACCTTTCCCGAATATTTCCCCCAGTAATAGAACCTTTGCTCCATAGCTCCATTTTCTAGACCAGTCAGACAGAATGAGGGAAAGTGACAGCTGAAGTAATTTAAAAAGCCTAAAAGATTTGGGGATTTTGAGAAATGAAACCTATCTTTAAAAGGTTTGTGGCTGCAGGAACAGCCACAGACGGGCGAGACATGTTGCTGCTAGCCGCAAATTGACCTTGCCTTGCTCGACTCTCGTAGAGTTCAATCAGATTGACACACTGAAAATGTTTAATTCAAGCAGATGATTACGGATCAGATACTTCAAACAAAACGCAACAACCCTCACGAAAGTAAACGCTAAGATTTGGGAACACAGTGGCGTCCCTTAAAGATGTAGTCAGGTGATCAGACAGATTGTAACCTAACCTACACACAGCAGACCTTTAATAAAACCTCACAACCACCAACCGTTCAGTTGACCCTCACACTGAGGTAACAACTGTTACTGTGACGGTGGAAAACAAGACACGCTTTAAGCATCCTGACCAATTGCACATTGTCATGAACTGGAAAGGCGTCCAACTGACAAATAACAGTGCTGTCAACATGATCCATGACGCGTAGCATGTAAAATGTCTGCTTTTTGTACCAAGTGAAATGCAGGTCACAACGTGGTCAGCGAGTGCAGCGTGTGCTGATCGTATAGCTCTCATATGAAGACAGCGCGTGTTGACAGCAAGAAGATTTGCTGCTCCAATCACATGCGGAAGAAGGAAACAAATAAATCTGTCCAGATCCTTTCATTCCCCACAAAACCTCAAATTATAAAGCGCATTGTGCCAGTGTTGCTGAGGACCGTCATCGACTTTGAGTTTCCAATTAATGATTTATGGCCTGCAATGTGCTGCATTGTGGGAATGTAACGCAGAGGAATGTTGACTAGGACAGAGACGCCGTAACAAAGGAGAGATTAATAACGAGAGAATATCAGTTTCCTTGAGGCGGAGAGGACAGAGAGGGTGAAAGACAAAGGTGCATACAGAAGATGAAGACAAGACCGTTGAGTAAGACAAATAGTGTCTCTTATTGCAGTTCGCTGAGACTGCAACACAGACGGCTTGAACATATGGTTTGGGAAATGAGACGTGTGGGTTTGTGCCAGCAGTTGTTTGATTTATCTTTTTATTATACCCAAACTGTCCCGAGGCAAATTACCACACGCTCCGTTCTGGCTGTCGAATCTAGGAAATCTGGAGGATCCCAGTGGATGTGCAGGACAGGGGCCACATCTCCACTATCTCCTCTGCACTGCATATCTGATCAAGCAAAGATGACATAAAACTTGTCATATTAAATTAGGTTGTTTATGTGAAGGCAGCTGGGGGAAACAACAAGAGCTCATCAGGATAAACCCTGTCACCGTTACAGTACGACGAAATAGACTGTGTTCACACAAAGGGGGCACAGTTTCCCAAAAGTGTCTTTGTGCTGAATTTGTTTAAATGGTAAGGCTGCTTTAGGTAGATCAGACCCTGGACGGACGGACAGACAATAAACAAGCCAAAGGTCAGACGCTGAATATTTCAGACATGAAACAATGCAGAAAGAGAAAAAAAAAGTCAAGTAATAAGAAAACTAATCTTAGCCAGAGACGTTTTCTTGCTATTCCGGGGGTGTTTCCTTACCCTCTGCTTGTTTTTCATAATGCAGTCTCAACACTTTTTCTGCTTCTGTGGTGGAAATCACACAATGGCCGATACTGATTGCTTTATTTTCTCAGTGTGTACCCCCCTCTCGCGTTTGTTATTGCAGAACAGGAGGATATGCCGGACAGGGGGGCAATGCTGAGCCTGCAGAATCTGAACATTTTCTTTCTAATAATTTTAAATCCTGTGGGGTCGAGTGAGAGGGGTGGTGGGGGGGAATACAGGAGGGAAAGGTGCAGGGGGTCTGGATGCTTGCCGGTGGGGCTCGTACAAAGTGCCAGATCACCAGGTCTGCTCAGGGTATGTGAAAGGTGAGCGCTGAAGCTGTTTGGGCGAAAAAGGGGGTCAGGTATGCAGTCTGGTCTGCATGTGTGTCTTAGCAGCGGCTGGTGTTCTGACTGACATGTGCATCCCAAAACTTCAGCTTCTGCAACCCAGAAACAGTAAAGCAATATCTCTCTGGCTGCACCCACCACTGAGCATGTGGTCACACACACGCAGAGGTTATATGCAAAAGAAATTATTATTTTAGTGGGTTAATATGGAGGCCACCTACACACCTGCCCAGAGGAATGTTTATCAGTATAGCATGTGGGGGGTACCACCAATGGCATTCACTCACATACCATTGATGCCAGCAGGGGATGTGGCCAGTGGTGTGGAAACCTCCAGAGGTTTGGGAACAGTCAACACAGAAGAAACCTTCCCCGGTGCTGCTTATTTCTCTCTAGATGGGCATCTTATCTGTAACATACAAAGATATTTATATTACTGGAGGGTGAAGAGAAATGTAAGCAACACCGTAACGTGCAGCTTACTTTACTTGCCTGTCTTGTGACAAGAGGCCAAATTTCCACATGGAAACAAACACCTTTGCCTTTTTTTTTTAAATTCAGAACAGGGAGAGCATGAAAGCCCTGCAGATGAACAGTCCTCTGTAAATTATTATTAGGGATTAAAAGAGCTGTATGTTTGAGCAGCTCTGTCCTCACACTGGATGTAGCGGTCCCTCATATCGGGGCTCTCCGTTTACATTATTCATACGGAGGAGGGTGTGACTTGTTGGCTCTTTTTTCCGCCTGTATAAAACGAGAAGTTCGCGTAAAAGAAAATACAGATGGAGAAGGCTAGCCGGCTCGCTGTGTCACAGAGAGTCCCCTTAAGCCTACGTGACAACTCACATACTGTCCCTTTGTGACCAGCTTAATCGGCAGAATGCCCGGTCTCTGTGTGCTTTGTCTCGCCGCCGCGCTGGCTGCGTTCGTCCGGCTCGCCGGCACCGTGGGGCCGGTGGTCCGATGCGAGCCGTGCGACGCCGGGGCGCTCCTGCTGTGCAAGCCGCTCCCGAAGGACTGCGCAGAGCGGGTGAGGGAGCCCGGCTGCGGCTGCTGCATGACGTGCGCCCTCGGTGAGGGACAGGCGTGTGGAGTGTACACGGCGCGCTGCGGCTCCGGCTTGACCTGCCAGCACCAGCCGGGGGAGAGCCGACCGCTGCAAGCTCTGCTGGAGGGACGCGGAGTGTGCTCCAGAAAACTCATTCGCATTCACATACCGCCGCAAAACCAAGGTAAGACGCAGTGTTTTTAATTTGTGCTCGTAGACACCTTGTTGTTTGTACGTGTGTGTTGTTGTTTGGCGGCTGTGACAGGCGCTGTCTCGCCCGTGAGGTGTTGCTCTGTGCTGACCAGGTTTGGGGAGTTCCCTGCTCATGTAAAAACACCGATTCAGTGTTGTATTGATAGTGGGGGGAGATAAAGATGCTGAGACGGATCTACTGCAGATATGTAAGGCGCAAAGAAACGTGCGCAAAATCCATTCTCTGGGGCTGTTTCCCAGCCTGACACAATGTAAAACACCCTTCCAAGCCGCTGGGTTTTAGAGGGGAGGCTTGACATTGCACAGTGATGTGTTCGCGCTGGTTAAACAAATCCCATAGGCTCCTGAAAGTTTGAGTGGATAACACCAGCTATGGGTTGGGAGGTTTACGCAGCAATTAATCGCTGCTTTCCCACCAGGCGGCCACTTTTTCCATGTGCGCACAGCTTTGGACCAATCATGCGTAAAATGCACAATGACATTTAAGACATGAAGAGATTGTCGTTTTGGGGTTTGCAGATGGTTGATTTTAAGAAAAGGGCAACACTGCTCCTTTCTCTCTAACACACACACACACACACACACACAACACAAACACACACAAACACACAGAGAGAGAGAGCCTGGCTCCCTCAAACCAATAGTTAAGGAATGCCACATACATACTGTAAGTATACAGTATTTAGCTGAGGCTGAGGGCAGACCATGTCCTTGTCTTCTGTAATGTCCTCATTTTCCTTCAAGTAAAGCTCATGGATTTTTGTACACAGCATGAAAATATGTGCTGCTGCTTTCCTGGTCCAGGATGGGAGCCAAAACATCTCGGGTGTGTGGCGAAGGAAGGGGGGGGTTCATTTCTCTGAGTTTTCTTTTAAGCAACCAAAACACACTCATATAGGTGCTCACAAGCCATTATCAGTGAGCCTAAAGCTGCATATCTCCCCCTTCTGCATGCTCATATCCAAAGGTCTTACATCTGCACAGTGTTTAGTGTGAATGGATGCACCGCTGCTCACACTGGTGAAACGGCACACATGCCACCACCATGTGAATACACACTGTTGTGTGTTTAGGCACTGCTGACGTCAGGCCTCCAGGAGCCTGTGTGTGTGTTTTCTTCTTACTGGTTATTTGGTTTGGCCACAGTAATGTGTGGTGTGCACTCAGCAGTCACATTGTCGTACACACACTCACACACATGCAATGCATCCTCCAGCATGCACACACACACTTGCTGAAACTGTTTAACTAGTTTTACTTTTTCACTTCCTGGCGCTTATCTGTCTCTGCGTCATTTTATATTTGTTTATCGCTCTGCAGCCTCTGATTTAAGATAAAACTAACTTTATTTCCCACGTGGGAGCAAATAAATCCATCTCATGGGCTTGTAGAGCAGAACACAATAAACAACAGCAGTGAGACTGTATCAGTTCTTATTTACAGTATCTCCACTATTTGAGATGGGGAGAAAGAGAAAAAAAGAAGGTGGGAAATGATCCCAAGCGCCCCTGTTGGTCAGAGTGTGTAAGTGCAGCCCAGTGGTTTCCACCGCCATCAGTCCCCAGCTCCAGAGCAGCCTCTCCTCCCAGACATTAACAAGTTCTCCTCACCGCAGTTTGTGCTGTTTACCCCTGTGCCATTATACAAACAAATTGCGTAATGTGTTTATCTAAAACGCCCCAGACTTCCTAGAAAGGTTATATAAAAGTTTATATTGACAATAAAAATTAATGCTTGCAGGAATCTTAAAAAGGGCTCAATATTTCTGTCCTTGGTTATGGACATTTATGGACACTTCTGCAGGCTGCATCAGGTCAAAGAGCATCTGCCGCCCTCCAGCTGATGCCGTTGTTGACATCCGTGTTGTTATTCTAAGTTCTGGAGAGCCTGGGAGATTGTAGAGCCCCACCACGTCACTAATTGATCAGGTGGCTACGGAGAAAGGGTGGGCTGCCAGCCTGCCTGCCCACACGAGCTACACCCCTACATGCCCGTCCGCCGCCCTCACCGCAGCTCTCGAACACAAAATCTGCTTTGAGTTAACGGTTTAAAACTGTTTGTGTGTGTGTGTGTGTGTGTGTGTGTGTGTGTGTGTGTGTGTGTGTGTGTGTGTGGGAGCAGCTGCATGTGTGTTCCCATCATCCCTCTGCCTCTTGGCGGACTTCTCTGAGCTCACTCAGCTCCTCTCGACTGTGGCCTGGTGGCCAGTGTGGCCGACCGGGTGGCACATGGCGGCCAGTTTGGTCCTCTCCTATATTAGGGAGGAGTGTTTGGAGCCCCCTCCTCCTCTTCCTCTCGGTCAGATGGTCACCACTCCGTCTTTAACGATTTGACAGGAATCTTTGCCAGCACCACGGGCTATTAATATAACCGCTCCCTCATCTCTCACTTTACCCCTTACTGCCCTAACCTCCTCCTCTTTTAGCCCCAATCCCCCTACCCACCCCCCCACCCTACAAGTATAAACACATACACAACATTTTCTTCTTCACAGCGTCCTTAAAAAGTCTTGTTTACACTCAGTTCCTCTCTGTGGCTCTATCTCTTGGTCTGCATGCTGTGGAAATTTGTGGATATGAAATCGTCATGTTTCTGTTTATTACTTGGCTTCGTCGCTGGCTCCAAACAGCCCACAAGGCAATGAGCTAACTTTATTTTGTCTCTTTTAAAAACAGGCCTCTCTAAGACAGTCAAGAATCCTCTGCTGGATTAAGAGAAGCAGGCATTCATCATCAGTATTGTAAACTAGAAACGACTCTGTGATGCTGAAGTGAGCTTCTGATTGGTAGCTTCCGGGGGGAGTTGAGGGGAAAAATAAAGGATGATATTTATTTTGGGAGCTGATTCCCCATTTTTGCACCAAACAGAGAAGAAAAAGTTATTGTTAGATGTCATTAAGGCTGTGAAACATTTATTCTGTCCATGAAAAGTCACAGAAACTGGAGCAAGTAGCTAGATGGGACAACTACATCCAGACCACATAAGACCAGATCTAATTTAACGGTCTCTGCACTTGTCAAACCTGGACTAGACTAACATGTAGACTACTTGATAATCTGTAGAGACTGTTTCAGATTTGTAAAACCTTAATTCAGTTTGTAAAAAAATACAAAAAATACTGGGTTTACTGCTTTTTCTGTATTAAAATCACATAAGACAAATAAGAGCTCTCAATGTATGTGTCAACAGGTTGCAATGCATTGTGGTAGCATCGCGGCATGTTTTGGGAGACGGGGCATCACATCTGCTACTACTCATTTGCATAAATAAAATAGGTCTAGGGCTGCTTTATGCAAATCAGGAGCCTCCAGCAACGCGACTAGCCACCCTCTGGAAACTCACGAAAAATGTTTAAAACTAACCGTTGTTGATCTAAAATACAGACGTTCAGCAACTGCGTGGCATATTTCTCGCTTTAAATCTTTTCAGATTCAGTTTTGTAATATGAGAGAAAGTTTGTTTGCGTGGTTGTAGGAGGTTTGTAGCATTTTGTGACTACAAGCGGTAAATTCTGGGAAGTGGCGCAACCCTTCGCATCCAAAAACAGCCCTGTGGAAACCACCAGGAGTCTATTTAGTCCAAATTTGACGAGTGTAGTTATAGTGGTTTTTGATCTAGACCTGTTCTTGAAGTAGTGAAATTGCTTGTTTACAAGTCTGTAAGTGGGTTTTTAAACAGCCACAAAGATTTTAATACAATATAAAATCATTTTTACAACTTTAAGCGATAAGTAGGAATTATCATTTTCATTTTCACTGAAAGAAAATCACAATGATGTGACATTTGTTGAGGCCATGTCTTACATCCAGAGATCAACCATTTGACCTTTTTCGTTGTTTGGCCATGTTACAATTTCAATTAATGGTGCAGTTCTGGGGAAAAAACGGATAATCTGCCTCCAAATTTCATAATCCAGTTAACCCCTGAAACAGAAGCTACGATTCAGACAGCGCCTTTTTCAGAAAGTATGAAACATCTGAAAACTGATGACTCACCTTTTTTTACCCATACAGATACAAATCAGGTAGAAGAGGGCTGTGCCAACGCGACGGCGACAGTGACGGTGTCGCCCGGCGTGGCAACCGTGAAGGGCGGGCACAGCCGTGGATCTGTGGACACCAGGCCTTCTCTGCACAACAGACTGATCCAGAAAGATCAGAACAAGAAGACTCAAAGCTACTGGGTGGAACCAGTGTCAGGAGGAGCCAATATGGACATTCACAACTTCTCCCTGGAGAACAAGAGGGAGACTGAGTATGTAAGTCACACCCAGAGAGAAAGTTAAAAATGTTATGGTGTTGCTATTTGGTGGAAAAGCAGTAATAGTCGAGGTTGAAGCAGACGGTTGCTGACCGTGACCCTGCTACGACTGCGGATGACAACAGATGGCAACAATTTATGTTTAACATCTTCCACAGCCGTTACCACTAAATAAAATAAATGATCTGATTTCGACATAAAATGCTGTCATCGTGCTGCCAACCACAGTTTTTGAACGTCATGAATCAAACGTACCCGGAGGGAAGATGAGAGTCTGTCAATGAGCGGCTGGAAACCGTTAGCTTGCTAGGTTTTTTTTTTTTGCTTATTAATTAATACTCAAGCTACTTTGTTTTGTGTCCACAATATATAGTACTGGACAAACTTAGCACTAAATAAAATAAATTACCTGATTTTTACATTAAATGCTGTCATTTACGCTACCAACCACAGTTTCTGAATCCCATAAATCAAACGTACCCGGGGGAAAGAAGAGGGCTGGAAATCGTTAACTTGCTCTCTACTTACGTTGTATTTTGTTGTAACGTTATTAACACAATATTTAACAAAAGCACAATTTTAAATTGATAAAGTTGGCCATTCAAAAACTGACATTGTACACACCCAGTTGGATGTCGTTATAGCGAGTTAGAACGTCCAATTTTGAAACCAGTTTACGACAATGCAACTAGACGAGACAGTGTATATCGTCTCCATAGCAACAACCCTTTTTTCTGTAGCTAAATATAATTTGTAGCGTCTTAATGAGAATAGTTATACTCTCGAGTTATACTCTCTAGCCACCTTGTGTTTTGTATGAAATATTTTAGACAACGAAAATGTGACATTAATAAAATTGGCCTTTAAAAAACAGAAAACCATCAATTTTCGTTGTTTGGTTGCTAGTTAGCTCGGAGGCTTCAAGTAATTAACAAATTTGGTGAAAATTTTGATTTGAAACTAATATTTTTGGCCCTTTTCAAAAGTGTACGACATTACGAAGCACACATAACAAAAAGAGTCTAGCTTGTACTTTAGCGTTTACCTTTGGGTTAGTTCTGGTTTGTTACCAAAGTTTTACCCTTTCAAAAACACAACTGTTAGCTGTTAGCATCCTTTTTGAACTGACAAAAATGTACGATAATCCATCCACTGCGTGACATTTCTCTGAAAACGTATAAAACATCCACTGTTGAAGTCTAACATTTTACTAATGTTATCGTATTTCAAAAGGTACCCGGTAGTATTTCAATTGTAATTGTTATAGGTTTTTACATTTAGCACCTTGTATGTATTCTTAAAGGTCTTAAAACAAACATATTGAATACATTTTCTATTTCATAACACATTTTCCAAGCTTAACATCAGCCCAGTCAATTCTCTAAATTACTGCAGACTGTCTTATATCTTTTGTTCTCTTATTGCCACCAACCTCTGTCGATTCATCACCATATGCCATGGAGAGACAGCAGTCTGCAACCTTTTCAAAATGTGTTTTTTTTTGGCCATTCTGCGCCTTTATTGAAGAGAAATGACAGGAAGTCATGGGAGACAGAGCGAGCTAAGGGCTAAATCAGTCTGCAGACTCCACCCACTGATTAACAATCCTAGTAAAGGCGGGAAAACTCATCAGTGAAATCACCTGCTGAGGTAATTTGTTGGAATTAAACCCTAAAGGCTGCTGCTGCTCTCCATGGCACGTGGATGGATGCAAGAATGCGTATCGCTGTCAACCTGTAGTAGGTGGTGTGCACGTGCAGGAAAAAACACAGGATACAAACAGTATGCGCTCCTCAAAACATTGATCTACAGAGCAATTTGTGGTGAGACACTCCGCGGGGTGCCTATAAGTTACATACTGTAATTTAAACGGCATAATGTCTGGTTATATGGGAAGATGAAACAGTTTGTTAAGAGACGGTACTACTTTTTCCAGAATGCTGATGTCTAATTTTGGACCTCTTCAACCTGAACCCAACAGTGGGATCATCGCCGCAACTCGATGGGGTTTTTTTTGCAGAAAAAACATTTAAATTCAAACCCCAAAAAATATTAAACTGAAGATTGAGGACTTTTGTATAAAAAGACGTACAAGACATTAAGATTATTTATTATTATTATTATTATGTAGTACTGTATCTCTTAATAAAAGCATCATATAGTGCAGTTTAAAGCAGGGGGGGGGCCCAAACTTAACACTTAATGATGAAAAGCAAATGCCTATTTTATTGTATTGTATTGTTAAAATGCATAAAAGATTACAAGTTTCCTTAATTTACTGATTTCCTGCTTCTTTTTTCCAGTGTCACTCTGCCCGCCGTGCTCAGATTATGAAAAACGAATAATTATTAGGGATCATACATCTCTAAAACGGCATGAACCAATGATTTAATGACCAGAATTAAATATGTTATCATACAGAAAATTATTGTTCCAACTTTAAAACTGCTTTAAGGGGAAAGTTATTTGCGGTTCAGGACTTTTATAGACGTTTACCACAAATGTATGTAATTGCACGAACACTCCTCGCATGTTCTTCAGGTCTGTGATTGGACGAGCGTGTAACGCTGGCGTTGTTGGGGTGTGTGTTTGCCGTGTGTTGCCACAGGGGCCGTGTCGGCGGGAGATGGAGAGCATCCTGAGCAGTCTTAAAATCAGCAACGTGCTCAACCCGAGAGGCTTCCGCATACCCAACTGTGACAGAAAGGGCTTCTACAAGAAAAAACAGGTGAATGGCTCACCCTGCTGTCTCTTCATCTCTTTTTCTCTCTCTCACACAAACACACACACAGACACACACACACACACCTGCGGATATGCAAAATAGACCCACCGCATGCCTGAACACCTCCAAAGAATCCTCACCGACTCATCCCACCCACCCAGACATGCACAATCCCCCCCCTTTTTCTTTTCTTTTTTTTTTTACCAGCTTGGGTTTCCTTGACAGCCACATCAACACTATATTATCAGAATGGCTAATAACTATGTATTACTCCGGTAAATGCACTGCAGCCGTCTGACTCATGCCCCACAGGAAATGAAGTCGGTCAGGTGTGTTTGTGGGTGTGTGGTGTGGGAAAGTGTGGGGGGTAGGGATGTAAGAATGTGGTCTGGGAGTGTGTGTGGCACGGTAGATGTGGCGGCAGGGGAGTGTATGTATGGCGCTTGTTTGATGGTGGTAGTTTTGGTGAGGGTGTGTAGGTGTGGGGTGCTGTTGGTGAGGTAAAAAAAACAAACAGGCTGTCACTGGTTTAGTTTTTCTTGTCCGTGGTACAGCAGACTTGGGCCACCCATGGCCTGCTCGTTTCGTAAGACGGGAAAAAGGCCTGAAAAGTCGTTGGGGCGACGCGCTAACCTGAAGGGAGGGAGGGGCGAGATCAGGAAAAAGTTGGAGGGGAGGGCGGTGGTGGCATTGCTGAGACCTGAATGGCCACCATCCAATTTCCTGAGGTTTGGGAGCCTTATCGGAGGGATTCCACGGACCTGGAGCCCGTTCTGAGAAACGCATGAGTCACCAAAAAGAAAAAACCCCCCACAAGCACTGTGAGTCAGAGACCAACTCGAGCCATAACACACACACACACACACACACAGAATAAAAATCACCCTCTCAGATTCTTACCTCACTCTTTCCCCAAAGTCTCCAAAGTGCGGTTCCATTGTTACTTTTATTAAAATCAGACTCTTCCTTGGTCTTTTCCTGGATTTTCATCAACAAATATCTACCAGGAAAGTGGCAGCTCTGGTTTAAGTGTGTGTGTGTGTGTGTGTGTGTGTGTGCGTGTGCAGCAGTGTGCCAGCCCTTGTCGGCCTTTTTCTTAGAGGGCTGGTGGGGTGCAGGGTGTTGTGTTAAATCCACCCAAGGGGATGTGCCTTCACGGTGCGTTGCGGAGATTTATCACCGGAAACGCAGCGAAGAGGAGACCGTGTGAACCGTCTAGGGTGACAATACTGTGAAAAGAAGGGAGCAAGAGGGGGAGGGAGGGAGGTAGGTGAAAGGGGGTGGATGGGTGAAGAACTGAGCAGAGGAAAACAGGGGCATAACTATACACATGATACGCAATCTGTCTCAGAGTGTTAAAGTGATAAATCTTTTAATATCAAATACTCCCGAACTGATGAAAGCTGAAAAGTTTCATCTTTCATACGGAGCATTTCCACCAAACAGTTCCAGGAAGTAACACAGCCAGGTAATTCCAGGAATAAAGGATCAACAGGAACAAAACTAACAACTATACAGCCCATAAATCCTGTATGTGCATTCCTGTTTGTGCTGTCACCTAAAGAACCGCGAGGATTAGGCCATTTAGACCGATAGCGGATTAGATAACAGTTGATAAAACACAATGAGAGAAATGAAGGAGTGGAAAAGGAGACCTACTTCAGCACATTTGTTTTTTAAGTTTCAGCTGTTTCTGGAGAACCACAAAAGGCTGATTTTCCCACATCGGTTAATAAACTTCGGGTGAAGTCAAGATAATGAGCTGAGTTACTGTAAGTGCAATAAAAGCTTCCCAACAAGAGTCATCTCTGTAGAGCGTTTACTTAGATTATTATCAGCAGCCTCACTGTCGGAGCTTGAAGATGTGTGTGTAGATTACGTTTGTTGCCTCCATGCTGCCACCTTCATAAAACAAAGTTTACATATTGTCTCAATGACGTTATCAGGCTCCTGATTCGACGAGTTTTCAGCGGTGAATCTGTGGAATGTTTTTTTTTTTGCTTGTAATGTAATAAAAAATATTTATTTAAGATAACAAAGATTGTTTTTGAGCCAAAACTAAGCATACACAATATATTAAAACTACCTCAAGCAGGCTGACTGAAAACAGACAACTGTCACACACATGCAGAAGAGGATGGAGACGTGTTAACATGTTGAGTTTTACAAGAAGTATCTCTGTTGAAAATCTGCTAGAAATCTGCAAATAGACGCTTTTGCTTTTCACTTTGACACCGAATCCTCTGCCCTCGTCTTGTTGGTCAACTCTCGACACGTGACCCTGCTGCTGTACAGAGCAGACGGTTTATAATTGTAGCGTCCATCGTCTGACGTGTTGATGGAAGCACAACGACGGTGGTGGCGGTCGGCAAGCAATGTAATCCCATGTATGCCCCAACACCGGCAACTACCGCTGCACACATGTTGTCTTTGTTGTCTACTCTCTCATGCTGAACAATGATATTGCCATTAAGGAGATTTGCAGTGGTGGAAGGAAGGTTAGAAAGGCCAGAGAGGATGCTGGTTGTCAAAGTACCGAAGATCTTCTGAGTGCTTTTTCTGTTTATTTCATACAGCTTGCATGCAGTTATTTGTTTACTAAATCTTGAGCTTGTTTTTAGGCTATTGCAAATGATTATATTAGCAACCGCCTGTTTCTTTCTTTTACAATAAATGAATAGAGTTCAGAAGTTGAATCAGTTTTGAGGCTTGTGTTTGAGTACAGCGACCCGTAGATGATATGAAGTACTGCAGACTCTATAGCAATAGTTGCACGGCCGCCAGAAAGGACTGGAAGGTTCATCTGGGTGAAATAAAGCAAAAATGGTTCCTAGAAAGGTTTCTGGGGTCCGCGAAAAGTCTAATAGAAAACAGTAACTGTGTTCAGATAAGATTAATGTCGGTTCAGATGGATTCCAGTGGTGATGGATTTACACAGCCGAGGACAAAGATCAAAGTCGTATAGAAACTTCTGAAACCGCTCTGCCAGCATATTTGCTTCATCGCTGTCCACCGCACATTCTATGCTCAGTATGTTAAAAAATAAGCCAAAATATGGGGTAAACGATGACTGCTCCAACACATTGTGTGAAAGTGGATGAAACAAAGTAGTTTGTACCATGTGTCTGAAGTAAAGTGGAAGGAAGTGTTTATAGCTGTTAAGAACGGCCACACTGATGATTAAAGTTCAAATCCTGCATACTTTGTCACCTCCACACACCTGGTTAATGGCCAAATTGCCTGTTTTTCATAAACTCCATAAAATAGACCACTTAGTCAGTGTTTGCCAGTTTACTCAATGATAGAAAATGGGTCCCTTAAGGTTGCGAACCACTGAAGTAAAAAAACTGAGTCAAACACATAAATAGATAAACAATATAGATAAGTAGACAAAGTGAAAAAAAGTAGGAGCATGCTGTTTGTGAGTTTTGATACCAGAATGGGGTAGAGTAATGTTTTAAGGCTCAGCTATCATGAGAAGTCATAAGCATGTACAGTATATGCATGTGTGGTTTCCAGTGTATATGTTGCTGGTAACATGAGTGCCCCGGCGCAGTGGGAGACGTTTGACCAGTGGTAGCCCTACCTCGGCTACAGAGAAACCTATTTTTAGCTGCAGTTATATGAATTGGCCCAGTATCCCAGTTCAGGCCATGCATGCCCAACACTGACCCACTCATTACACCCCTCAAAGTCTCGCTCTCACTTTCCCCCTCTCTCAGGCTCTCTCTCTCTCTTATTCATTATTTCACCCACCCATCATTACCCCCATTGTGCCCTGCCTACAGTCATCCACCCCTCTTTTGTTCTCCCTGCCCGCTCCATCATTCTGTCCATCCTGCCCTTCCGCCCACCTGGCTTTTCCTTCCTTGTTTGGCCAGGAATCACCCCGCAGAGGGTTGTGAATGGGACGACAGTGTCTCCGCGTCTCTCTGTGTACTCTTTCAGAGTTTAGTGTGTGTGTGTTGAGAGGAAGAGGAGGAGGAGGAGGAAGAGGCAGTGGGTTGAGGATGTGAGCCAGGTGTCTGCGTACCCTTATCCCTCCTCCCTCGCTGGGTCCTGACAGTGCCAGGGCCCATAAGGGTTGACTTATTGAGCGTGACTCAGAAGGATCTGTGGAAACGTACAGACCGACCACAATGGCTTTATAATAACTGGCCAACCTTCGGGGACCCAGACAGCTATTTTCACTCTGTCTCTCTCCCTCGTTCTGTTCCCTCCCTGGATTTATAATCCACCTCGCCTTCCCTCTCGCTGGGGGATATGGAGTCATTTTTCCGCCTTGGCTGTTGAGTGATATGTAGAGCAGAGTGATCGCCGATACACTACCTGACTGCAGTACTGATAACAAAACTATACTTTGTCAATAACTTAGTTTGAGAACATCTTGCATTTAATTTAGAAATGTTAATGCATCCGTGTATAATGCAAGCACTTAAACAATAAACTGTTTAGATATCTGAAAGTATTTAATGTCAGCTTATGATACTGTTCAATACTTGATTTTACACTTGTATTTTAGTGTATATTGAGTAAGTATTGAAGTGCCTCCCTTTAGGGCTTCAGCTAATCATCCTCTTCATTATTGATGATAATAGACTTTTATTTTTGTCTGTTTATTTTTTATCGAACAATTTCAACAAGGCTTCGTACTTTGCGCACTAATCATGTGAGAACAGTTTCACAGTATTACACAGTTATTATTACTATATTATTATAGTATATATAGATAACTTGTTCCAGCGGGAAACTACGATCAAATATGCAGAGAAGTTACAGTGATTGGACGAAATTGCAAGATCATCGCAACTTCCTGAAGAGAACTGTATTATTAACAGTTACAATGACCCTTAAAAGAATTAAAACAGAAGGTTTTTTTTTTTTATTTTATAATTTAACAAAATATGTCCTGTATTTTTTAAATATTCACTTCAAAATACTGTATTTGTCCCTCAAGGGGCAGTTATCAGTACCCTAGATAAGCAGCTGCTACCTGCTCTGTATGCAGACACTAAATGTAGCATCTGTTATGGATGTGTATTTGGCCCTGTAGTCTCTAAAATGTCAGAAATAATGCTTGACACAAGTTAGCAGATCCTAAATTGATGTCTTCAAATAGCTTTTTTCCCCACTTTTTTTGTCTGTCCCACAGTTGAGAAAGTCGAAGGTATTCAATTAAAAAAATATGAAATGCACTAAAGTCGCTTACATTAGAGACGCTTTAACACACAACTATTTCAAAGGTCATAAGTCAACTCAAATATGCCCTCATTACTTCTATTGATTATTTAGGCTCCTGTTTTAAAGTTTGTGTGGATCCATTCTTCTAAAACAAACACAAATCAATCTGCAGTTTAATGCAGCCACTCCCAATGCACTTGCAAACACACACACACACACACAAGATGCACCCTCATTTACACAAATACATACGTGCGCCCCTATACACACACACACACTGCATTTTATGGGCTTGTGTTTATCCTGTGGTCGGTCCAGGCTCTTTTTAATGTCCGTGAAGCCCAGCGGCGCTGCTATTAGCTATAAAGACCGGCATCACAAGAGCACGCATTCATACGCACAACACACACGCATACACACCCCATAAAGGTAGCATTATGAACGTGTGAGGTGGATGAAGTGTGCTTTTTTTAGTGATGGCCATGTGGACCATGCAGGGCCGGGGTCGGGGCTGTAGGGCTGAGAATATGGGGCACGAGGTCTGACCTCTGAGCTGAGGTTCAGGGTGAAAGGATTAGTGATCACCTTAAAGAAACACACCTCCAAAAAAACTATGTTTTGATTATGAAATACTCACCTCACTGTGCTTGAAAGGTGCCCTGAAAGGTTTGTAGCTCCTTTCTTCATTGAGAAACATAGTCAGCGTTGACTCAAGATGGATACAGCAGGAAATTGTAATTCCAAAGATAACGTCTGACGTCATTTAGAAACAGTGTCTCCATTACTGACATATTTATTTTTATTTAAAGGACCAGTGTGTGGGATTTAGTGGCATCTAGCAGTTGGTTGCAGATTGCAACCAACCTACGATGCCTTCCACATATGTAAGAGAAACTATGGTTGCCATTAAAAAACGTGAAATGCCGAAAATAGTATCTGTAGAAACATGGCAGTTCAAGATGGCGGACCCGCCATAAAAAAGAAACCACTCCCTCTGTAGATAAAAACGGCTCATTCTAAGCTAACTGAAACACGACTCCTATTTTCAGGTGATTATACACTAATGAAAACATACTTATGAATAATATATTACTCTACTCATCCAGGCTCATTTTCCAAACATTTAAATTCTCACTAAAATATAACTCACACAGTTTCTGTGTGTTGCAAACACAGTTAGCTGTTTACATCTGTCCTTTGTGACTATGCTTGCTTCCACAGCGCATCAATAACAAACACTAACAGCCAGCCAATGCTAGCAACAAATGCCTTTCACCTAAATAGTGAATAGTTTGAAAAGTTTCTATTAATGTTTTTATTCTTTGTTTCCGCTGCAAAATTGGATCATTGTTGGAATCTATTGTTGCCATCATGAATCAAAGGTAGCTACAAAGTTTTTTTGAGCCTACAGGTGGTATTCAATGGAGTATTCCTTAAAGCTACCAGCATTAGTTTGTATTTTGTTGTATTTTTGAAACAAAAAGTTGAGTAAAAACCTGAAAACTTTCAGTCCTTCTGAGGCAGTAAAGTGACATCCAGTCCTCAGTGGACGGCTGTCTTCGCCATTCTCCTACAGTGTGTGTGTGTGTGTGTGTGTGTGTGTGTGTGTGTGTGTGTGTGTGTGTAGATTGAAGCAGTAAAGAAAGGATTGCTTGAGATGACTGCTAATAGTTCACAGATGAAAGAGAGACTGAGCGGAAATTCAAAGGTAGCCAAGCAACAGGGGAATGCACACATGCACATTTTGCTCTTCCTCTCCCTTCCGCCTCTCCTTTGGCTTTTCAACCCTCCCATACACACAAACACACTCTCTCTCTCTCACACACACACACACACACACACACACACACACACACACACACACACACACACACACACACACACACATTCACCACGCACATGCAGGACTCCATCATCATTAACCAGCGCAGAGGAACACAATGTTAAGCTCCTCTCCGCAGTCTCGTCCACTGGGTCAGGGCTAAAATAGAAGCTGGCCGCAGACTCAGACGATGGCACCGTGAGGGGGAATGGAGGGAGCAGAGAGGAGAGAGAGAGAGAGAGAGAGACAGAAGAGGAGGAGGAGGAAGAGAGGTAGGTAGGAAAGAGGGAAGCTGAGTTCAACAAAAAGAATCCTTCGATGATGTTAGTGTGTGAGAATGGGGCGTGTTGGGCTGCGTACTTGCCCCCAGACTGCTGCAGTAGTTGTTGGTATTTTAATGGGCCTCTGTCTCTATAAAGCTGCCTTTGATCATGCACTCAGGCTGCACGTGGATGTTGACTACGCCGGAAACAGACACCTGGTCACACTCTAAAGCCTGTCTGTCTGTCTGCCTGTGTGTCTGTCTGCCTACAATGCAGTGCGTAAGTATTAGGATAGTTTTGTTTTGGCTCTGCACTCCTGGGTGTTGGAATTTAAATGAAACAATGACTTTTAGATGAAAGTGCAGATTTTCAGCTTTAATTCGAGGGCGTTTACATCCACATCTAATAAGCTGTGTAGAAATTATAGCTGTTTTTAAGCTGTCTTCTGAGGCTGAAAAGTGCTATGAATCCTACACAGTTCACCCAAGATGTACAAAATCTCATTCTTTAGCACTTGATATGCCATTTGTATGGTTTAGTCATAGTCTAGGTACATAAAACTAGTTGATTAAGGTTTTGGAAGTTGTGGTAATGGTTAAACTTGAACTTTTTATAACCAAACAACTGTTTATCCACTGCACAGCCCTGCTGGAAGTAGAAGGGGAGTCGCTCCTGTGTCGTTCCCCAAGGAATTGTTACAGCACACAACTAGAAGCACAAATTGTCGCCTTTTCATTTGAGAAAACAAGTTTAGTGAGCTTTAGAGGTGTTAGTTGGTGTTAAACTTTGGAATTAGACTGGCTAGCTGTGTCTCCTTGCTTCTAGTCGAGAGAAGCTAATAAGCTAGTTAGAAAGGCCGACTCAGTGATCGGAGGACAAGTTGTGCTGGACTCTCTGGGAGGATGCTGTCCAAGTTCATCCTGAACTTCCCTCCAAGACATGCTGGATGAGAAGAGAAGCATCTTCAGGAAAGGAGACTCATAACACCGAGGTGTTTTACTGAGCGCCACCTGCCACTGGACATCGAACTCTTTAAAGGTCCACTGTGTAACATTTAGAAGGATCTATTGGCAGAAATGGAATGCAATTCTCATAGGGTTAGGGTTTTATCTTGTTAACCCTTCAAATTTCTCCTGTAAAGTTTTTAGTAAATAGGCTACAAAATGCTCGAAGTGAAGCTCAAAGTTCAGCATCAGAGCCGTTGTTTCAATTGAAAGCCAGTGTTCTACATATACACACACCGAATATACCGTCTGCTACTTTTGGACTGCACTGCCAGCGAGACAGATGGGCAGAGAGACAGACAGGCGTGTCTCGGCCCTGGCTGGTCACCTCGCTGCTCTGTCACCACTCCCCTCAGGGGCGAGATGATGGGTAGGAGGAGGATTATTCTGAGCCAGGGTTCAGCCTAGCCTGACTGATTGTGTCGTTTCATGTGTACCCCAAATGGAGCTCATAAAGTTGCCACTCTACAAAGCCCGGCCCCCTGGGGGACATCTGATATTACTGTGTGTATGTGTGTGTATGTGAGCAGGTGGGGGGTATGTATACGTTCGGTACATACGACTCCTGTTTGTGTGCACCTTCATGTTTGCTGATGTGTGTTTATGCGTGTGCTCGTGCACGCGCGGGCCATAATCAGCTCCAGATGATTTTGAGTGTCTGCCAGCTTCCCAGAATAGCAGCGCTGGTTTCCTTGCAGCCCTCCAACTGGCCTTGGCAAATATTTTAGCAACTCCATGTTTACCTTCACACTCCTTCACTCTCACTCAGTCAGTGCGTTCCTCATTCCTGTCCCCCCACCCCCCCATCGAAAATAATCTACTTTTTTTACCCCCACTGGTCAGGAGCATGCATGAGCCTGATAAATAAACTCATAGATGGGACAGACTCAACACCACGCTGGCTGCAGATCGAGGCTCTCCACGCTCTGATCTCGACACCTACGTCTTTCACAAGGCGAGCAGCTGCATCATCTGCTGTGTTTATCTCTGATACTTTGTGCACATAAAAACTCTGAGACGGCTCCAGACAGCAGGGCATTCCTCTGCATGATCGATGAGATGTTTGTCTTATTAGAGTTCTGCTGAGGCATGACTTGGCCTCCTGAAAAGCATCCAAAACCTAAAAGCCAACAGAGCAAGATAGAGTCTTATTATAATACACGCACGAACGGCAAAGGTGGTGTTGATAAAGCTGTGTCAGGGTAATTCCTCACCTTGGAAACGCTAATCTGTTTTCACAGTGTGTCTCAAAGTGATAAGTCCTCCGCCGCCTTCCCGTCTTTTCCTCTGATGGAAGTCAGAGCGAGTTGAGTGATGTTTGTCCATGCCCCGTTGGTGCCACCTGTGCAATCCTTCTCGTTGAAGGCTGCACACGTTAATCTTCTCATAGTGTTTAGTAAAAGCAAACAAGCACCATACTAATCTTTGTCTCCCCCCCTCCCTCTCTCTCTACCTCTGTTTGCAGTGCCGTCCATCCAAAGGCAGGAGGCGGGGCTACTGCTGGTGCGTGGACAAATACGGGCAGCCTCTGCCCGGCTTCAACGCCAGGGAGCGGGGCGAGACGCAGTGCTACAACCTGGAAAGCAAATGAGAGGACGGAGAGGGACGACGAGTGAACGGAGAGTGGACGGAGAGAGGAGGACAGAGAATTAAGGGGGGAGGGAGGGGGGAGAAGGGAGGAAGACAAGAGAGAGAAGAGAAAGCGAGCCAACTTTGTTCTTGTATGTAGTTTTATGTAAACATTTGAAGGGGGCTCTGGACCTTTTGATTTCAGGTCTGATTTCTGTCGGAGAGTTAGGGAGAGAAGGGGGAGGGGAGGGAGAAAGGGGGTGAAGCACAGCCTCTGCGAGCGGCTGAGCCTCCTGTCCATCACAGCTATCTGTCCCGTGCTTAGGGAACCTCTATCCTTTCTTTTAAAAAAAAAAAAAAAAAAAAGATATTAAGCTGAAAGCTGAGAGAGAAGGGGAAGAAAGAGAGAATCCTACCATCTGCACTATTCTTTTAGAGAGAGAAAGGAGGGAATTTTCCACTCACTTTAAAGAGGACTTGTTTGTGACTGTGACCCGAAAAACCGCACCACCAACCATTTCTAATGTGTGTGTCTGTCTGTGAGTGTGTAACCGCGAGTCCGTGTGTGTGTGTGTGTGTGTGTGTGTCTTAATGTGTGAGCACCTGCGTAACATACGTGTGCACAGCTGCATGTCCGTTCAAGATGGCGCTCTCCCAAAAGTGTTTATTTGTGTAAATACTGTATGTCACTAAGCTCAGTGTAGAAGACGTCAGGCTGCCCATCCCCGGCCCCGGCTCCATTAAACAATGCAGAAAAGAAAAGAAAAACACTCTCTGGCTCAGGGTCCATTTTGAAGTGAAGAATTATGGGATGGCAGGGCTTTAACTTCTCATCCAGTGTTCCTCTCCCTGCTGTTGGGAAGGGAACGGAGGTGAACCGTGCAGTTACAGTGCCTTAAAAAACAGACTTTTCCATGCCTCCCCTTCACCCTCCGTAGTCCTCGATTAAAGGAGTACGTCACTGAAAAATCTACATTTCGAGTGTCAACTACATGTCTGAAACGTGTGGCTTACACTGTCGCTGAGGACAGCAGCTGTAGTTACTGGAGTTTGGATTCACAACAGCTCCAGTAGATCTGAAGGCTGCAAAAACAGCATTAAAAGGTCTGAGCTGTGGGGCGGCGAGAGCGGGAAGTGGAGGTTGTGTGTTTAGCTGTATTCTGGAGAGTGTTTGGATCGTGCTGAGGGAATCAATCAACAGTGGAGGTGCAGATTAAGGTGTCAAATTGTTAGGTCCAAACCTCTGAATTGCTGCCTACATCCCTGATATAAGCAGCGGTTCAAACAGGTCTCATGTAGAACCCGACTGATACAGGATTTTTGAGGCCAATACCAATTTTAGAGATTACCGATTACCAATATGGTGGCTGATTTTGCACCGATAAGACTATTCAAAGGTACTCCGAAGGCTGCTTTCTCAAACAACTTTATTAAGGAATATTTAAGTTAAATTAACATGTTAAATAATTTAATAATTCTTGTTAACCTTGCTGAGAGCTGCCTCTTTCTCTCTGACTGCTTGCCACAGTATTGTAAATGGCAGCGCACTCTGCTGGATAAGCTTTGCAGGGACACCAATATATTAACACAAACATTTTTGTCTGCATTATAAAAAAAACAGTTTTCATATCGGATGACCGATCGATACCGATATGTCTGCGATAGGCCAATATCGGCCTAGTCTCATGTTGTTCTGATGGCTGTTTACCCGATCAGAGACGTCATGTTCTTGTGCAGTAGCCAGAAAATAGCCACAAGTGTGGACACACAAGTGAGCTATACACCTCCACAAATTTACAAAAAATAACAACTTTACTGTTACTCTTCCCAGCATCTGCTTACACAGTGTCCATGCAACTTGCTGCTAATTGTTCTGTGCAGAAAACCCCCAAATAACAGCTAACATGAACACATCAGGTTGAATGACTAAGCAAACGTGAAACAGCAATTCAGTCTGAAGATCCCAAACATGGCTAAAAACACAGCTTCCATTCCCGCGAGCAGGGTTAGCTGTTGAGGTTTGCCGCTTTTTAGCCAACATTTTGATGCTTTTCTGTGACTCTGGGTTGTAAAGGGAATCCACTGTAACAGCTGTGAATCCAAGCTGCCATCCTCAGTGAAAGAGCAAGTCATGAGCCACTCTCCAAGCTGCCCCGAGGCGGGTATTTAACACTCAAAAGACAGATTTGTGGTGGTATTATTTTGAGGCGCTCACATGCCGCCCTGCAGTCTTAGGGATCAGTTAGTTAGACTAGTTTGTTCTCTGTCTCTTTCCCGCCACCTGCTGTTCCTGTCCACGTCCCTTTACCACAACTTGTCCGTCATGCAGCTCCGGTGCTGAGGTCCATCCACCCCGACCCCCTTCCCCCCTCCTGTCTAAAACTTTGTCCTTGTCTGTGTGCCTGATCCCGTCTCCAACCCACTGACCCGAGTGTTACTCCCCACCCCAGCACCCTGCCCACCTCCGGTCCTCTTCCTGTCAGTGGTGCAACCTGGTGTAGGCTTGTTTGAACGGGGCGAGCCCGGTGTGACCGGCTGCCCCTATGCTTCAAGCCCAAGCACAAGCACTTAAAGCACTTTAGCTGCGCCGCTACTCTTCAATGCATGCAGTTAAAGACAATTGGACCTATGTGCATCTGCATACCTTTCCTACGAGGTAATGTCAGATGAAACAGTGAGATACTGTAAGAAAACAATAATAACCCAGGGAGGAGGAGAAAAAAGAAAGAGAGAGAGAGAAAAAAACGAAGCTACACCAGGACTTCTGACAGCGAACCTAGCGAACACCCCTCAGACATTTTCCATTCAATGCAAAACTATTTTCTTTTTGTTGTTGTTGTTTTTGTTTCTTTGAAAAATGCTTTTATGATCGTATGCCAACAAATCTCCACAAGGTGGACACAGCACCAAATATGCATTCACACAAGTGGTAGGGGGTCTGAGGGAGGAGGCAGGGTCCTCCCCGACGAGCTTCCTGCCCGATGCTCTCCCACATCCTGTGTAAAGACTTGAAAAGTGGAGAGAGTGCCGACAAAGAATGCTTGCCCAGTAGCTTGGTAGCATGAAATCGGCTGTACACTTCCTTTAATAGACAGCAGCAACTTACAACCAGCCTGTTGGTGCTATATCCCATCTACTCAAAGACTTGATGTAAAGGGGAGGAACATACATACAAATATGTTTAAGCTATTCCCTCCCTAATATTTGTAAGTGTGTCTTTTTATATATATATATATATATATATTATTATTATTATTATTATTATTATTATTATTTCCTGGCCAGCTACGTGTCTGACTAGACATCATGTACAGTACTTAAAAATGAAAATTATTTATCTAAGAAAGAATTATAAGCTGATCCAAACTAGGTTTTCTCATGAACAATTCAGTGACTCACCGATTGCACAGAAAAGTCTATATGATTCAGTGTATTTTGGGGAATATAATCACTAATGAATGTTTTATTTTTTAATGAACTTTTCCTGCTGTTGCTCAGCAGTGTCATTTGTAAGCTCCGTGCCCAGCGGGCGAGTTTAAGGCCTCGGGCGAAATCTGTGTCAGTCAGTCACTCAGGTCTCTGGTCATCTTAGTTCACTGCTTCTCGAAGCCAGTGAACCTCTCACCTCTCAGTCCGTCGCTTCTCTCCATGCACACCCAGCCATCCCGCCTCAGTCTGTTAGTGCAGAGCCAGGGTCACACCTCTGTAACGTCACTTTTTATTTTGTATTATCATTTTTTTCCCTGCTGGTCACGTTAAGAATCTCTGTTCACGGGTAAAAAATTATTTTTGTTTTTCATTCTAAGTTTATCCTTTAAAGAGTTTTTCAGCTTTTCATGATACTAAACTAGAAATCACACAGCTATTATTTTCTCTGAGAAAAGGAAATGATTTTGATTCAAAGTATAATTTGTATTTAATGTCTTTTTTTAAAATAAAAAGTGAACACATTTTAAGACGCTGTCTCTGCTGTTTGACTTTATATCACTGGGAGGCTTGTTGTCATCAGCAGCTCACAGCCCGATCATCTGCTCTGCTTCATTCCTGCAGGCAATCGGGGCCACAGATTGGCTCCTGTTGAAGCCCTTGAATGCAATCAGGCTCCCCTCAGTCTTGGAATGTGTCAATAAGGATAAAGCAAAGGTTCAATTTGTAAAGAATAAAAATAAATCTGGTGGTGCCAGGCAGGCTGGCAGTGGGCACGAGAGGTTGAGGCAAATTCCTGTGCCCCAACCAAGGCAAACAGAGAGCGGGTCAAAGGCAGCGCAGAGCTGCATGTCCCCGCGAACTGTCTAAAGTTAGACAAGGGCCTCCACTTTAGATCATGGTGATAACACTGCACACAAACACGCCCAATATAGAAAATGTGGTCCAGGAGTGCATCTATACACGCAGACTTTCATAATCACGCCCTAATGAAGCTGTTGTGATTCTCATGTTATGGATGTCTGTGCGCCTGAGGTGAAAGAGAGGCCAAGGAGCACATAGCTGAGGTTAATGTTTTTATTAAATATATCACCTTTTTTTCTTCCATTACATCTCAATTACAAAAAAAGTGTACATACACACACGAGTGAGCAGTTAGTCACTTTGGAATAGACTCACATAAACAATAATTCCCCCTCCAACAGCAGCATGTAGGTAGAGCAGAGGCGTCACGGTTCGCTGCGGGACTCGCTCTTTGTGGTCATGTGTTCTTGGTCAGAGAGAACAGCAATGTGTAAAGTAAAATAGCGAGTCTTCTTTCGACATATACATCAACACAACTGACAGCAGACACATAAATATTGGAGGTAGGTTAATGTAGAAATACCCGTCTGAGAGGCGACACAGGGAGGCGCCGCCTGTCATGCTATCTGTAGCCCCATGGAAGCATGGGAAATGTTTTCTGAGACTGTTTAAGGATTCCCGACTGAGAGTTTTGCATTCACTAAAAAGAGCTGATCGTGTGTCACATCCGGAAAGAAAATGGACAATAACATAAAGACATAACAATGGCAACAAAATGAATCATAGAAACAACATTTAGAAATACTTCTAAATGACATTTGGTCACTCAGTGCTTTTTGTTCTTGCTTGGTTTGTCCCAAACCAAACCTCCAGACAACTCCTTAAGGGTAGAGCGAGCTCAACTCAGCAGTGGAGTTACTCAGGGCCAAGATACATATATACACTTTATACACCCATAAAAATAATAATATAATAATAACAATAAGGCAAAAAATGATATAAATACTCATAAAATAATTACAAATACAATGAAATAAAATGGAAATAAATAAGGCTGAAGAGCAGAAGTAAATGCATCAATATTAAAATCTTCTTCTCAGCAAAACAAAAATAGATTTTTTTCTCTTTGGGACGGGTGTTTGAAGAGGAGGGAGGGAGGGAGGGGTTTAGGGTGGTTGGGACCCACAGTCCCGCAATGACAGTGTACCTGAATTAAACACCACCATGGACAAGATCAATAAATAAACAGCTTTTAAAAAGGAAAAATCAGTGGCTTGCTTCTTCTTTTTTGTGAGATCTGCATCAGTGGTTGATCTCTTTAAGGGCACTCGGCGTCTGCAGGCAGGTCGGTCGAACCTAAAATCTTCTTGCCGTTCCAGGAGTTCACACACCAGCATCGACCCCTCTGTCCGTCCAGAGAGGATTCGCACTGCAGAGGGACAGAAACAGCATAGATGAGATTTTATTCAGCTGCCTATATTTTCCTGATGCACACACACACACACACATGCACGGTCATGCAGCACTCGCTGGGTGACATCAGAACACAAACACAACCTGCCTGCAACACTAACTCACTCACAAAGCACTTTAAAGCATAATCTTGGCTGCACGCTCTCTCTCACACACACACACACGCACACATACAACTTGCTGAGACTCTTTCATGCTGAGTGGAGTCATGAATCCATCCCCATAACTTCCCCTCACACACACACACACTTTGGAGAAGGCACCAACCTGTTTTGGTTTATAAAGCCCGTGTTTGTCACAGTTGGGGAGGTAGAATCTGGTTAGTTTGTCTCCTAATTTCTGCTGGGATTTGGCAATCTTGTCCAAGGCTCTCTGCAGCTCCACGTGGCACGGCCCCTGCTGAGAGGATGAGTTAGGGTTAAGCGAGCTGTGCATTGTGCCAGCACACAGAAATCACAATCAACACGGCTTTATTATCAGCAAGCACGTGGGCTGACATCAAACTGCACAGAAAACTTGTAAAAACAAGCAGCATCCCCATTCCCTCTCTCCCCTCTCCAGCATCTCTTCAAACAGCACACCAGCTCCCCCTTGTGGTGCACTGGCCCTTCCCACCCCCCCTCAAAAAAAAAAGAAGGAAAAAAAAAGAAAAACCTCCCCAAAAAACTTTTAGTAACACACAGCACTCAGAGGGTTTCCCTGGCTCTCACCTGCTCGACCAGTTTCTTGCGGATGGCGATGAGTTTGGCTTTCATGCTCTCCTGAGCGTCGGCGGCAGCCCTCGGGTCGTAGGGCTTACTGGGGCCGGGGAGGTAGTGGCTGGAGCCGGGGTCCGAGATAATGGCTGTGTTCTCCATCTCAGCCTCTGGCTCTCCCTGATCTGGAGGATGGAATTGAATGAATGTTAAGCGAAGCTGAGGGGATGCAACTGTAAATGGCTCCAGAGGAGATCAGTCAAGTGTCTTTTGGGGGTGGGGGGGTCGTAATAATGAGTATTTGCTGGATGTGGTAAAAGACAGATGTATAAATGTGGAGGTTATAGGCCTACCTTGTGTCTGGGGCTCGGGGGTCGCCGCGGGCTCAGTGCTCTCAGTGCACAGGGCTTGTCCCCGGGTGAGGGAGTGCAGCGGTCGGGGGTCGCCGGGTCTCGGGGTGCACCTCAGTCCGGAGCCGCACGGCGCCGTGTAGATCCCGCACAGCTCCCCAGCAGTCAGGGCGCAGGCGAGGCAGCATCCACAGCCGGGCTCCCGCAACACCTCGGCGCATCCGGGCGCCACCGCAGGACACTGGCTCAGCTTCTCCGGAGTACACGGGGCGCATCGGATCGGCTCTGGCCCCACCACCGGGGACCCCAGCGTCCCCGTGGCCAGCACGGAGCACACCGCCACCACCACGACGTGCTTCAAAGATAATCCACCCATGGCCAACACAGTGAGCTGGATACTAAATATAGAATATAAAATGTAGAGCAAGGTGGAGAGAATAATCAAAGGTAAAAGCCGGATTCCCACGGTTCTTGCTCAGTTGTGTCTTTCGTTTGATTTTGGGAAAATGTCTAACTGTGCGTTGCGCGCAGCCGTATTTATAGCCGGGTCCTCTGTGAGTGTTTGACGCATCGGCGTTATGAATGATTTCTGAAAAGAAGGTGTGATGATACGATGGGCTCTGATTGGCCCGCCTATGTCCGGTCAGGCAGCTCATTTGAATACAACAATCAACGTCAATATTTATTTTGGAACAGGCAGTGCTTGCACGTAGCCTATCGCTGCCGAGTGACGACACCAGTGTTTGATGTTGCAATCAACGACCCCCCCCCCTTTTCTCACCCTGGTGCAACACTAAACTACTTTACTGCCGGACTACAGTAACAACACAGGTTGCGAGTCTGACTCTCTTTAGTGGGGTTTTGTTTTTGTTTGTTTCCATAACTTGTAATGAGAATAAGTTCACGGAGCGTCACCGGGAGCCGGTTTCCAGCCCCCTGTGTGCCGTACGGACACAAACAAGCTCCCCTCTTTGTGGAGGAACAACGTTGTCTATTCATGAGGCTTTGCCATTAATTGTCCTCTCCGAACTTCTTACACAACTTTGGGGAAAAAAGGAAGTAGTAGGCCTAATGAGCGCACATTACGCACGCCCACGCAGCGCGCACAGAGCGTGGGCCCGCGGAGAGCGAACCGGCGGCGCTCAGTCGACGTGAGAAAGCGTCCGTGCACCGGCGGGGGGGTAATAAATCCAACTTTCAGAAATAGCAGCGCAAATGAGGGTCACCGTTTACGCCAGCGCAGTGAGGGAGGGGGGTGCAGGGGGTGCAGGGGGGGACTCTGTGGTATGTGATCCCTCTCTGTCCCTCGCGCGCGCTGAAGCCCGCTTTTGGGCTCAGTCCAGGAGATGTCCAGTTGTAATTACACGTTTCCCGGGACCATTATAGACCAAAAGCTTTTTGAATGGGAGCGGCGCTGACATGACCACAGACACGTCCCTCCTCGCCTCGCCACTCTCTGGGGGGCTTTGATGGTCCCACGGTGGACAACATGCGCGTTTTCACGGCTTTTCTGGAAGGCGGCATTTGGTGTCCTGTCACTGCTGACCGCCATGTGATAATGTCCCCTCTCATTTGCAAAAGGGCTAAAAAAAGACTCTTAATTCGTCACCCACCCTCCACCTCACCCCCCAAAGAAAGACTCCCATCTACTTTCACATTGTAGTTAATTGCCCCCTCCTCATGCAGTGTTTTCTGTTGCATTTGGATTCATGCAATTGCTTTATGGGATTGCATCATCTGTCAACTGGTGTTAACAGTCTCCCTCACGTGATGCCCAGATTTGTATTCCTCAAAGCTGCAGGCTAAATAAAGCTTTTAGTGTAATCTGATGTGGCGTGAGAGCGTTAGACCCACTAACATTTCCCTCCGAAATGTGGTGGAGCTGAAGTGTAAAGTAGCATGAAATGCACCTTAAACCTGCAGTAAAGTACAGTACTTAATGTAGTTACTTTCCAGGGGCTACTCTGCATAATGAGTACTTTAACTACAGCAAATTACTAGTAACTGCAGTTGTGAAGTAACTGTATACAGATGCATACAATTGAAATGGTCGAGTAAAGTAAAAGTATCTTAAAACAGCCCTTAAGTACAGTATTTTACTTTTTTATTTTTTATTTTTTACTTACTTTATTTACTTTCCCCATCACACTCTGTCTCCATATTGCTGATAATAACTGTGCTTTGACTTAAAGCTGCTGTAGTAACTTT